TAAACCACAGAAATGTACTCTCTCACTGTCCTGAAGGCGGGAAGCCTGAGATCAAGGTGCCAGCGGGTTCTGTGTCTGTCGTGGGCCCCTTCCAGGTTCATAGATGGCCGTCTTCTCTGTGTGTCCTCTCATGGTCACCCTTCTGTTCGTGTCTGCGTACTAATCTCCTCTTCTTATAAGCACATCAGTCCTGTTGGATGAGGACCCACCCTAATGACCTCATTTTACCTTAATCACATCTTTAAAGGCCCTGTCTCCAAATACAGTCACATCCTGAGGTCCTGGGGATTAGGGATTCAATTCAGCCCATAACACTGGGCTAGGATCCCATTGAATTCTGTGATGCATTCATAGCAGGACAGTGTGTGACACCTGCCAGGACAAGATGTGGTGTGCTTGCGGCCCTGGCCAGTGGCCGTGTGAAGTGGCTTTGTGCTGGGGTCTGGCTGGCGATGCAGAGGCCAGTGGCTGGCTGTTCGGGGAGCTGGCCATGTGGAGGTGTTTGCGAGCCCCTGCGTGCTCTCTGAACCAGCCCTGAGCCGCTTCCAGCATGGCCACGTCCAGGCTCCACATGCTGTGTCTCTTCTCTCCCTGCAGCTTGGCGCCAATGCCCTGCTCTTCCTCGGCGTGAACGTGTATGGGGTCTTCGTGCGCATCCTGACCGAACGCTTGCAGAGGAAGGCATTCCTGCAGGCCCGGAGCTGCATCGAGGACCGCCTGAGGCTGGAGGATGAGAACGAGAAGCAGGTCAGTGGTCCAGGCTGAACTGGTCTCCTCTGCCTTTTGGGGCCTTCCATCTCTCTCCAGGCTGTGTGGGCTTCGGGCACCTGGGCAGTCTGAGTGGGGGCAGCTGTGGTGTTCATGGAGGTGGAGGGAGTCACCCACCTTCAGTGCTCCCTCAGCCTGTTTACCCTTCGGTGACAGGGGCTACCATTCCCAGTGATGCATGTTGGTATCAGAGGCTGTGGAGGAGATGCCCCCAAGGTTTTATAGGAAACAGATGGGTGGGCAGCCTAGGGCTGTGGCCCCACAGGGGCTGAGCTGCTCATGAGTGGTGGAATGGAGCTGCTCTCAGGGTGTCATTTGGGCAAGTTGTCCCTGGATGCAGCTGGAGTAGGTTCACCTGCCTCTGGAGGACGAGGCAGGGTCTGGGCAGGCCTGGGGTGACCCACTGGCCAGAGGGACCCAGCGACAAGGGGCTGAGGCTTCCACAGACAAGGGGTCTGGCTCTGTGTGCCCAGCTCCAGAGCACACTGGCGGTTCTGTGGTACTGTGCCCAGGAGCTGTGGAGGAGTTGCATGGTCATGACGGCAGCATGGCCGTGAGCGCCTATGGCATGAGCGTTCCTCTCCATGGCCAGCCGAGGCAGTGGCACCATCACCCCCATCCTCAAGATGAAACAGCCACACGGGAGAGAGTGGCGAGAGCCATCCTTGTGTCCTTGTCTGCTGTGGGGGACCATGCCCGCCAGGTGGCCTGGAAAGGATGGTTGCAAGCCTTTGGGTGAGGCCTCGTGCATCACAGGCACCTTAACTGGGAGGGACCAGACTCTCCTCCCAGCCTGGGGCTCTCAGGTCTCTGAGGGGCCAAACTGCTGATGTCTCGGGCTTGTGGTTGTTGTGGTGGGACAGATAGGATCTATTTCTCAACTCTATCTACTGTAAATACAAGATATTATTATACTGACTGTACATTTAAAAATACACTTGCATTTGCTTTCATGTGTAGACGTTGTAATATTACCTAGTATTTACAATAAAAGGATAGAGTTGAGAAATAAATCACATATGTATGTTTGGGTTGTGTGTACTGCCATGTCTGTGGACATGCCCATGTGGGTGGATGTGTGGGTGGGGTGGTATGTGTTTATGTATATGTGCATACGTGTGGAATGCATGCGTGGGTGGATATGTGTGAACTTGCCTTTGTCTCTGTGCATGTGTGCACATGTGTGTTGGTGTGCATGCATGTGCATGTCTATGTGGTTTCACATGTGTGGTTTTGCATTCACGTGGATGTGTGTGTCTGGGCTGCTTACATGTCTCTGTGTGTGTGTACCTGCATGTGCCTGTGGTATGTGGGGATACGTGTGTATGCGTGCATGCATGTGTGTTGTGTGTTCTGTATATGTGTGTATGAATGTGTGTGTGTGTGTGCACGTGTGTATAAATTGCATATCTTCCAAGGCTGTGCCCTATGCATTTTCTCCTAGACCACAGTCGTCTACGCTGGTAGAGATACCTCCTTGGTACTTTCTAGAAGGCGTTTGACCTTCTTGTTGTTATCTCCACAAGATCCCAGAAGTGAATCCTTGGAAGCCTGTTTTCCCCTGATATTCATCCTCTGAAGTACTGGAGACAGCAAAGGCTTTTTCGTGGGCTGTGTTTGTGTGTATTTCTGAACCATCTCTTCTTTTCCTCCAGTTCTCTCTCCCCTCCCATACCTTCCTTATCCAGTTTCTGTTTCTTTTCTGACTTCTGCTGCCTCTCCTCTTGGCATCTTGCCTCCCAATATTTTTTAGTCTAGCTTTTTCTGCACAATATGCGTTATTTCACTTGTTTTTATAGCAGCTCTGTGAGCAAGGGATTATTTTCTCAGCTCTACAGATGAGAAGCCCAGGCTCAGGGAGGCTCAGAGACGTGCCCAAGTCCTAACTGCAGAGCTGATGTTCTTAAGCAGGAAGTGTCCAAAGTGGTAAATGTCACCCAATCCTGTTAACCCAACTGGATGCTACTATGTACAAGGTTTTGCCTTTATGCATATTTTCCACACACAATAATCATTTTATTTTCTATGATTAGACTCAACATTTTGCGCAGGTATATGCACTTGTGTTACAAATGTGGCTGCTTACTCTTCTCCTTAATGCATAGGCGCCAGTATTCCCAGCGCTGACATTTAGAAACCATGTTTTTAAAAAGTTTTTTCCTCGTGTGCATCTTTATTCATCTATACATGAGGTATTCCCTACTGTAAATATGCTAAGGAGTATTTACTTACTCCTATTTACTTGTATAATAAATATGAGTATTTATCACTTTTATTTTCAGGAGTGTAAATATGACCTCTTCCAAGTTCCTGGGGTATTTCCCTAAAGGTTGTGCTCCTTTATGTCTTGTAAGTCAAGTCTGATTACACTGGGCTCTGCACAGCAGAGGGTCTCCAGTGGCCTGGGGCCACCGGCACTGGCAGCACTGGGGAGCCCATTAGAAATGCAGAGAAAGCTTGGGTGGGGCCCAGCAGACGGTGAGGTTCTGGTGAGCCTCCCCACTTCTCTCTCTGTCTCTCCACCTCACTGTCTTTCTTTTTCTGCTTCTGTCTGTCTTGCTGTCTCTGTGTCTATGTCTTTTCCTGTGTCCGTTTCTGTCTCTCTGAATGTCTCTGTCTCCTTCCTTTCTGCCATCTCTCTGTGTCTCTGTCTCTGTCTTTCTCTGATTCTCTCTTTGTCTCTCTCCCTCTCCTTTGTCTGTCTGTTTCTCTGTTGGGACTCAGCTCCTGCTGTTCACTCTGCCCCTTGCCATTTGCAACACAGATGCCATGTCTTTGTGTGGGTCACCATCTGCATTTCTTTGTGACCCTTTGCCGAGCTGTGTCCCGACTTTCCTGGGAAATGGAGGAGCAGCAGACAGAGACTGACGCTTCATCAGAAGGGTCCCGTGTTTCCCCAAATCTGTTTCTCCAGCTCTGCTTTTCTTTGTATAAAAATTCAGTCTTTCATATTTTCAGTGGGAGAATCATCTTCCTTTGTGATTTCCTCTGTTGCTTCAAAGCTTAGCAAATGTTTTGTTAGACCAGCGCTGAACAATGGCAGGATTTGCCTGAGTCCTGGAGTTGATCCTGAGGGCTCTGCAGTCCTGACTTGTGCTATATTTCTGTTGATTGTGCTTTTTCTTTTTCTTACTTGTGCTTTTTCTGTTGATTCCCTTTGAGCCTGCGGGGTTGTGTCACAGGACAGCTGCCTTCCTAGGTGGCTGGTCACCGGGACTCAGTTCCTCCTGCTGGTCGATTTCAGTGCAGGTGCCTTGTCTCTTGGGGGTGCAGTGGGGAGCACTCAGGCCCAGGAGGTGAGGGACCTCCACCACCAGGGTAGTCATGCTGGTCTTCTTTTCATGTTTCAACTCCATTAAGGACACAGTTCCACTCTGTACCTGCTTCTACTGTCCTCTCTAGCCACTTGGTCAATGTGGCATGATGGGCAATGGGGGCGTCCCTGGGGGTCATCATGGGAGGTGGTGGAATGCAGGGCAGAGTCCAGGGGGCTGGAAGAGGGTGGATTGCGGGGGAGGAGCGTGGGCAGATGCCAAGCCCGATGCTCCGTGGTGGTGCTTTGAGACAAATCCTTCCATGTCTTGTGTCTCAGCTGGAAGAAGGTGGCCCTGAAGGTGGAGAGGTGGGCAGGGGGAGCAGGCACACAGGGGAGGTTTGATGGGGCTTCTTGTCTCTTGTCCCTGGGGATAAATGTGTAACCCTGAGGCTTTGTGAGCAGGGAGAGGATTGTGCTCGGCTCATAAAGCAGGCGTTTGGCTTGAGAGACCCAGAAAACACCTTCTCACAGGAAAGTACCTGCCAGATGGGCCTGTACTTTGGTGGCCACAGCTGACAGCCTGGGCCTGCAGGAGGGCGAATGAGGGACTGCTGTTCTGAAACACAAGCTCCCAGCGTTAATTCCCCAGGTCCTGTCCCAGCTGTGCCCGGTTTTGTTCCGGGGCAGGAATCAGTGGAGCAGGTGGAAGCTGTTGAGGCGGCAGCACCCTTGCTGCACCCTGAGCTCAGGGCCGTCCTGCAGGTGGAGGCCGCAGGGCCCCGGAGCCCTTCCCCATCTGTTGACAGGTCCGATGCCACAACTCATGCCAAACGTTGTTCTTGCCCCAGGCTGATAAATGACTAGTGGTGCGTGCTCCAGTGTCACTCTCGGGAGCACCGCTGAGGGTCCGGGGTAATGGGGCAACCTTGGCCTTTACCAGCCGGATGCATCCTGGGTCGTTGTGCCCACTCACCACTAATTTTCGCAGCAACCCCATGTCCCTTCCTTCTTGTATTGTTTAGGGCTGTGGGCCTGCAGCGTCATCCTGCAGAGGCAGGCAAGCGTGTCCGCCACAGCAGCCGCAAAGAGCAAGACCTCCCCCAACATGACTATAAGAGGAAGCATTAGAATAGCTCTTCTGTCCTCACCTCGACCATCTCAGGGGGCTTGTCTGTTTCATTGTGCTACTCGCTGTACTTCTAGAAGGTTCTCTACTGTGGAAAAAAAGTTACTTGAATTGTCAGTATGCCCCAGGCTGATTCCTTTAGGGAGGATTTGGGTGTGCTAAAATGACCCCCGCAGCCAAACAACAAAGGAACTGAACGAAGGGACGGCTTAGAGTTGGCCCCGTCTCCCTGTAGGGTCTGGGCACTACGGAAGGTTAATCACGAGTCTTTGCATCATCTAAAGAATATAAGGGCTTCATTCTGTTTTATACATCTGAGAACTGGAGCTCTGAGTATTTAAATAACTTGAGAAAGATAATGGACTGAATAACAAAGTAGCCAGCGGCCCATTTTCTCTCAGCATGGTCACAACCCTCCTCAGCTAAAAATGGCTCGCACAGAGGTTTTAGGTTTACAGATAACCGAGATAAACGCTCCAATGGGGAGTGAAGGTTTTCTTTAACAGGGCTCTCTCGTTTCAGAACAAAACTGTCAAAAGTTGGTTCTTTGAAATAGATAAGCCTTTAGGGAGACTCGTTAGTAAGAAAGAGCCAGCA